CTTGGTGGTAGCAGTGGCGTGGTTGGCAGGCCCGACAGCCTCGTTAGTGACCTGGATGGCCAGGTGGGGGGTGTTGAGGAGGGGCCACGCCCCCACCACCCCACACGTCATGTACGAGTCATTGAAGGTCTTCAAGTGAGGGTCACCGAAGAGCCCACAGTGGGCGGGGGCGTCGCTACCTCGGTACTGGCAGACGTCGTGGGCGTGGGTGGGCGGCGGCGGCACGCCCACCGCGGGCGGGGGGGGCTGCAGCTCCTCCGCCGGCAACACCTTGCTGCAGTTGTATTTAGACATGAAATTGGAGAGCATCTTTTTGATGGAGTGGTAGTAGATGTCACCCCTGCAGGTGCTGGCGAGGGCGTCCGTGCACTGACTGTAGCGGTGCACGAGGCTGCAGTAGGCGACGGTGGCGCCCTCGGCCACCCCGGCGTCCAGACCCGCTATGTAGGCCTTGCTGCACCCCTCCACCACGCACTCCCCGCCCGCTCCTGCAACACAACACAACACACTCACTACCATGTCTTCCCTCAAGCCTAAACACAGTCAGGGAGGAGGGGGGGGGGAGAAAAGGAAGGAGGAGGAGGAGGGAGAAAGGGTGTAGGGGCACATATAACACACCGCACTAAGCCTATTTTACAAGCTATTCATGCCCGTGTCCCCTCTAAGGTGGTTTAATCTACATTAATCAATCGTCTATTTTACAGTAACAATCCCCCTTTCACCTACCTCCTCCCCTAACACCCCCCCCCAGGGACCCCCGGGAGACCACACCAACTGCCCCACTAAACATCATCATCCCCCCCACAAACACCCAGCAACGCTCTCATGACCTCAAGCGCACAAAAACACGAGAGCAACAAACCACATCACTCAGCGGAGGGAGACCAGGAGGGGGTTGAACCAGCCGCTCCCTGCAGCTGTCTGCGCGGTTCCAGGCAGGTTTAAGGGCTTCCTGGACGGTTAAAGACGTAGAGATAAACGTGTATAACGTCGTGTAGATGTGTGTGTATCTCTCCCTGCGGTCCCAGACGGGAATCAGGGCTAAATGTGCGGCTCCAGTCAGGAATGAGAGTACTCTGTGCGGTTCCTGAAGGGTATGCGAGCTCAAATTGCTGCTCAATATGGTATAAGGACTTTCTGCACGATTTCAAATGGATATAAGAGTTCCTCGCCGCCCAACATAGGCCTAACAACATTTGTGGTGGTTCTAGACAGGCATATCAGCTCTCTGGGCAGTTTTAGACAGGACTATCAGTTCCCAAAGCAATTCCAGATGGATTTAACAGCAGAGTCAGTCGGAGCTACAGCATAGTGGACGGCTTTACACCACCTGGCAGCTCTCTGTATTGGTTTCAAAAGGCCCTCGCAGCTCAATTCCAGGGATTCTCCTCTCTTAACAGTTCCAGATGAGAGTAACAGCTCTCTGAACACTTCCAAATGAGTGTAGGAGTCCTGAGCAGGTGAGGAACCGCCCAGACAGGTCTATCAGCTCTCTAGGCGACTACAACCTGGCGCCTAGACTGGATAGCGACTACAGACTGGCGTTCCTTTAAAATTCACTGGACGGCAAAAATCGCTCCAAGTAGCCGTCTGGGAGATTTCATTTATGGGCAATTATCTCTTAGCAACTCTCTGGACTGTTCTCCACGTTACTGGAAACTCTGGAGGCTTTCAGACTAGTGTAGCAGCTGTTTTGTGTGTCGACTGGCCAGTTCCAGCCAGATCTAAGTACTCTATGGCCAGTTCCAGCCAGATCTAAGTATTTTATGGGCAGTTCCAGCCAGATCTAAGTATTTTCTGGGCAGTTCCAGCCAGATCTAAGTATTTTCTGGGCAGTTCCAGCCAGATCTAAGTATTTTCTGGGCAGTTCCAGCCAGATCTAAGTATTTTCTGGGCAGTTCCAGCCAGATCTAAGTATTTTCTGGGCAGTTCCAGCCAGATCTAAGTATTTTCTGGGCAGTTCCAGCCAGATCTAAGTATTTTCTGGGCAGTTCCAGCCAGATCTAAGTATTTTCTGGGCAATACTGGGGTGTGGAGCTGGTCAAGATATGTTGTATTCACCTAGTTGTGCTTGCGGGGGTTGAGCTCTGCTCTTTCGGCCCGCCTCTCAACTGTCAATCACTCAACTGTAACTAACTACTAAATAATCCCCCCCCCCACACACACACACCCAGGAAGCAGCCCGTAACAGCTGACTAACTCCCAGGTACCTATTTACTGCTAGGTAACAGGTGCATCACTGTGAAAGAAACTCTGCCCATTTTGTTTCTCGCCGGCGCCAAGAATCGAACCCGAGCCACAGGATTACGTGTCCAGCGTGCTGTTCACACAGCCACCGGCGCCCTGTGTGTTGTGTGCTTGTTGTGTGTGTGTGTACTCGCCTAATTCACCTAATTGTGCTTGCGGGGGTTGAGCTCTGGCTCTTTGGTCCCGCCTCTCAACTGTCAATCACCTGGTGTACAGATTCCTGAGCCTACTGGGCTCTATCATATCTACACTTGAAACTGTGTATGGAGTCAGCCTCCACCACATCACTGCCTAATGCATTCCATCTGTTAACTACTCTGACACTGAAAAAGTTCTTTCTAACGTCCCTGTGGCTAATTTGGGTACTCAGTTTCCACCTGTGTCCCCTTGTTCGTGTACCGCCAGTATTGAATGTTTATCCCTGTCTATCCTGTCAATTCCCCTGAGGATTTTGTAGGTTGTGATCATGTCTCCCCCTCACTCTTCTGTCTTCCAGTGTCGTAAGGTGCATTTCCCGCAGCCTTTCCTCGCAACTCATGACTCTTAGTTCTGGGACCAGTCTAGTGGCATACCTTTGGACTTTTTCCAGCTTCGTCTTGTGCTTGACAAGGTACGGGCTCCATGCTGGGGCCGCATACGTCAGGATTGGTCTTACATATGTGGTGTACAAGATTCTGAATGATTCCTTACACAGGTTCCTGAACGCTGTTCTGATGTTAGCCAGCCTCGCATATGCCTCAGACGTTATTCTTTTTATGTGGGCTTCAGGAGACAGGTTTGGTGTGATATCAATTCCTAGATCTTTCTCTCTTTCCGTTTCATTAAGTACTTTATCTCTTATTCTGTATCCTGTGTTTGAACTCCTGTTTCCACCGCCTAGTTTCATTACTTTTCATTTACTCGGGTTAAACTTTAGTAGCCATTTGTTGGACCATTCACTCAGTCTGTCTAGGTCGTCCTGTAGCCTCCTACTATCATCCTCTGTTTGAATCCTCCTCATAATTTTTGCATCATCAGCAAACATTTTTTCTCACACACACACACACACACACACACACACACACACACACACACACACACACACACACACACACACACACACACACCCCAGGAAGCAGCCTTTGACAGCTGACTAACTCCCAGGTACCTATTTACTGCTAGGTAACAGGGGCATTCAGGGTGAAAGAAACTTTGTGTGTGTGTGCGTGTGTGTGCGTGTGTGTGTACTCACCTAATTGTACTCACCTAATTGTGCTTGCGGGGGTTGAGCTCTGGCTCTTTGGTCCCGCCTCTCAACCGTCAATCAACTGGTGTACAGATTCCTGAGCCTATTGGGCTCTATCATATCTACATTTGAAACTGTGTATGGAGTCAGCCTCCACCACATCACTTCCTAATGCATTCCATTTACTAACTACTCTGACACTGAAAAAGTTCTTTCTAACGTCTCTGTGGCTCATTTGGGTACTCAGCTTCCACCTGTGTCCCCTTGTTCGCGTCCCACCAGTGTTAAATAGTTCATCCTTGTTTACCCGGTCGATTCCCCTGAGGATTTTGTAGGTTGTGATCATGTCCCCCCTTACTCTTCTGTCTTCCAGTGTCGTGAGGTGCATTTCCCGCAGCCTTTCCTCATAACTCATGCCTCTTAGTTCTGGAACTAGTCTAGTAGCATACCTTTGGACTTTTTCCAGCTTCGTCTTGTGCTTGACAAGGTACGGGCTCCATGCTGGGGCCGCATACTCCAGGATTGGTCTTACATATGTGGTGTACAAGATTCTGAATGATTCCTTACACAGGTTCCTGAACGCCGTTCTGATGTTAGCCAGCCTCGCATATGCCGCAGACGTTATTCTCTTTATGTGGGCTTCAGGAGACAGGTTTGGTGTGATATCAACTCCTAGATCTTTCTCTCTGTCTGTTTCATTAAGTACTTCATCTCCTATTCTGTATCCTGTGCCTGGCCTCCTGTTTCCACTGCCTAGTTTCATTACTTTGCATTTACTCGGGTTGAACTTCAACAGCCATTTGTTGGACCATTCACTCAGTCTATCCAGGTCATCTTGTAGCCTCCTACTATCATCCTCTGTTTCAATCCTCCTCATAATTTTTGCATCGTCGGCAAACATTGAGAGGAACGAATCTATACCCTCTGGGAGATCATTTACATATACCAGAAACAGTATAGGTCCAAGGACTGACCCCTGCGGGACTCCACTTGTGACGTCTCGCCAATCTGAGACCTCACCCCTCACACAGACTCGTTGTCTCCTGTTGCTTAGGTATTCCTCTATCCACCGGAGTACCTTCCCTCTCACTCCAGCCTGCATCTCCAACTTTCGCACTAGCCTCTTGTGTGGCACTGTATCAAAGGCTTTCTGACAATCCAAAAATATGCAGTCTGCCCACCCTTCTCTTTCTTGCCTTATTTTTGTTGCCTGGTCGTAGAATTCAAGTAACCCTGTGAGGCAGGACCTGCCATCCCTGAACCCATGTTGATGCTGTGTTACAAAGTGTGTGTGTGTGTGTGTGTGTGTGTGCGTGTGCGTGTGTGTGTGTGTGTGTGCGTGTGTGTGTGTGTGGAGACTGCACCACCAGCAAACGTTCACCACCAGCATGCTAAACATGGCTCGACGGCAACAGTTAGCACACACCCGCCCTGGCAACTCAAACTCACGAAACTCAGTATTCACATCAACAAAAAATTAAAATTTAAATACAAAATAAAAGTCGAGCATGCCACGAGTGACGAATTCATCGTCCGAACATCAACAGAATTGTGAACAAAATTCTCAGCATAGTTCTGGAACACTGAAGTAATTACTGCCACAACAGCCCGGTAATTTGGCAGGAGTAACTGGGAACGAGGGAGCCCCTGGATGTGTCTGGAGCATGTGGAGCACTCAGTGATGTGGCTCCATGTTGTGTCTGGAGCATGTGGAGCACTCAGTGATGTGGCTCCATGTTGTGTGTGTGGAGCATGTGGAGCTCCTCAGTGATGTGGCTCCATGTGTGTGTGTGGAGCATGTGGAGCTCCTAAGTGATGTGGCTCCATGTTGTGTGTGTGGAGCATGTGGAGCACTCAGTGATGTGGCTCCATGTTGTGTCTGGAGCATGTGGAGCACTCAGTGATGTGGCTCCATGTTGTGTGTGTGGAGCATGTGGAGCTCCTAAGTGATGTGGCTCCATGTTGTGTGTGTGGAGCATGTGGAGCTCCTAAGTGATGTGGCTCCATGTTGTGTGT